CAGCGCAGTTGGACTTTGTGATCAAAGGCTTATGGGCAGCAGCACGGCATGAAAACCAAGCAGATGTGCTTCCTTACGGATGAGGGCCATCGGTTGGGTGCGGTTCTTCCGAATTTCTCTGGACAGCACTCGTCGGTCTCTATCTACCAGTTTCGTTGGTCTGCCGACTCGGGGCACATTTAGACAATCACGGCTCATCTTCCACTTCTTATATATTATAACAGAGACACATATGTTAATAATGTTCTCAATAAGTTAGGACAAAAGAACTGTCGCATTAATATTATCTTATAATATGCTGCCATTTTCTAACTTGTTCAACTAAGTTGTTATTCTTGTATTAATGTTTACTGTCAATGCAATTTCTTGTAACATTTACTATTAAACAAAATTTGATACTATTTTCTATACCTGTATCATTATAGCCACGTCTTTTAAATATCACTTAGATTTTCCCCCCCCCCCCCCACATTTTGCTTAAGCACCTGATATACAATAATTTAAGAAAACACTTCCTAGATTTTTTTTCATTTTGCTTAAGCACCTGATATATAATAATTTAAGAAAACAACACCTCCATTCACTCCTATAAAATTTGGAAAAGTGACGACGACACAACATTTTTATAACCTCAGCCCTCATTTTCCCATAACCAAAATCTTGGATTCGCCACTTCCCCTCTTTCCTTGAAGAATTTGAACAAGGAGTAAAAAGGTGAAATGCTTTTAAAAAGGAATAAAAATGAGCGAGTCATACCTCGTACACCAAAAAGGGTGTTGGGAGTACGAGTACTAAGTACACTTATCAGGTTCAATGTTCCTTCTAACCTTCTTCGGGAACATACAAGGACCTGACTAGGAACAGAGAGCTTACTAAAGCTATGTTCACTAATTGTAGTAAGTAGACAGGATACAGACGAAGGGTATACAAAACCCTTTATTTTTCTCTATATACAATAATTTTCCGTACTTCGGAATACAATGACCCGCCACTCAGGGTCTAACGTAAAAGTCTAAAATAAAACTTAACTTTAGAATAATACACGTGGAAGATTGGCCTTATAATAACAGGAAGCGTATGTAGCACAGAGACTGTGAACACTACAATACGTTTAATTTATCAAGAGGATTAAACCCTCTGGCCTGGAAGGCAAATAGCAACTGCGTAACTTCTAAGGTAAGCGGCCTGCTTCGAACTCACTGCTTCCTCTCTATCGCTTGGCAAAAAGGCCACACTTAAATACTTGGCGTTCGCCAGACAAACTTTGCATAAAATCCTTAACGCTTATAATTCTGGCCGGAAGTAGAAAATAAGAAGTGATAGTAAAGATTTAAAATAAAATAAACGTTAGTAAAACTTAAGATCCTTACACCCTTTCTCCAAAAAACTTAAATTTCAGTCCAAAATTCAGGTTCCACCTACATTTCAAACATTAAAGTTAATCCTCAATTAAATATAAATATTTAGACATTTTTAAAATAACAAACATTTTAAAAACTGCAATCTAATCTTGGTATGCTGATTCCAATTTAACATTCAAAACTATTTCAAGCTAAACAATTGCGACCAGCCCTTTAATTTAACAATTAATTTAACAGAAATTACACATTTAAAACAATCTATTAAAAATAGAAGCTCTAATTGGTAGGCCAAAAAATTGTTAATATCATTTCATTATAAATTAACACCATTTTGACGCTTGCGAACTAATTTAACATAGAAAATGTTTAATCAGTCAATATATTAGCAGGGAAAGTATTTCAAAAGATCGCTTGCATATCAGGCTTATAAAAAATACCTCCTTCAAATGAAAAAACATGAAATTCGCTTATTGAAAATAATAATAATAATAATAACTACTTTTCGTTTCCCTTTTTTAATAATTTTTTAAATATAAAAATATTATTTGGATTAGATTCTGAATTATTAACTAAGGAGATTTTTTGATAAAAAATTTAGACGCAGTGCAACAAACCTTTCAGATAAATTAAACTGCATTGGTAAGAGAACATAACAGGAAATGAAAAATTATCTTATCCCCCCACTGCACGAAAAAAAAAAAGGTCCAGTTTGATGAATGCTTGATGACTACATTATGAAAAATTTCCAAAGCTTTAAGTGCACAAAAAATAAGCACAAACTTACTTAAAAAGATGAAAAAGTCTTAGAAACGTAAATGTATGGATAAAAAGTAAGGCTATTAATGTTTCTTATACGATATATGGAGAAAATCAATAATCTATGTATCTACGCATAATCAATAATCTATGTATGTATGCATAATCAATAATCTAGTATATATTGGAGAAAATTATAAGTCTATAACACAGAAAATGAGGGGGGAAGGAAAATTGTTATGATTATTCTTAACAGGAAATGCATCCTAATTTGGTAATAGAAAATATTTATTTAATCAACAATGAAATAACATACAGAAATACTTTAACAGTAATGCACAATTCTGAGTTGATTGCTGAAAAATCAGCCTGTCATTTACTAAAATATTGTTTCTTATTTTCTTTCTCTTTTAGTGAATGCACCAAAAATAATGTATGTACACTGGCGTGCAAAACTTAAGCAACAGGTGTTCATTTTGCCATAACTACATCAGAAATCATCTGACACACAAAATTCAGAATTAAGAGACAGCATTTTGTATTTAAACACTGACAAAAGCATAGTTGCGCAAAAATGAATACCAGTATGGAATCAAACACCAAAAGACTTAATTGAACTCACAGTATCGTTATGCAAGATTGTCTGTACAAGAGAAAGAACAAGAAGCAGATGTTCCTTAGTATGGGATATGCCCTGCCCTTACTGCAATGGTTGCTTCTCACAGTCTCTCCATACTCACCACCAGATTGCCCAACAGATCTTGAAATAAGAGTGCCTATTTCTCAATCAGCATCTGTTTCCGTTGTTGGGTGTTCCCCGGAGCATGTAATCATGCCGCAAGGCATCTCCCCAAAACGTTACACACATGTTCTTCTGATGTTGCTTCTTACCAGAGTAAATATTTTAACAGTTCAGAGATTTAGTACATTTTAAAATATCACATATCGTTCATGATTTATTTTTTTATTGTACTATAAAAATTCTAGTTGCAACCTAGAAGGGGAATTAAAGTTTTAAATTTTGTGTGATTTAAATCAGGAAAGTACGCTGGCCAATCCATTCAAAGGATATCTTCACTTACCAGTAGCTACTGAACAACAGGAGTCCAGTGTGGCCATGGACTGTCATCCATAAAAACGAAATCTGTTCCAACTGCACCTCGGAACACTCACACATGGGGAAGGATCATCTCCTGACAACAGCAATCTCCAGTTACAGAACCTCTACTCAAAATGGAGTTCTATCCGCCGGTTCAGTATAATGCCTCCCAAATGATAACTCCATTACAGCCGTAATGGTCTCTTTCTGTGATGTTACTGGGATGAAATCGTGTCCTGACCTTTCTCCAAATCAGCTGGTGTTCAGAATCGCTTGTAGCACTAAAACGACTCTCATCCGTAAAGAGGACATGACTCCATTGATAAGATGTCCAGTTTTTGTGTTCCTTGCTACCGTGTGGTGGCACCAATGGCCAACTTTCAAAGAGATGCAGCGTTCAGGATGGCAAGCGAGTAGGTCACCTTTGTGAAGTCGTCTGGACACACTAAACCATGACACTTGTTGCCACGTTGCTGTACACAGTTGCTGAGCTATGGCGCTTCCTGACTGGTTTTAGGCTCTTTTCGCCTGCAGGACGATATATTGATCATCCACTGCAGTTATTTTCCTGGGGCAGCCACCACCAACCTTTCTATCAGTTGTAACTATGGTTTGGAAGGCTTTCCAAGTGCGAGAAATGACACTTTTGTTGATTTCGAACTCTTCAGGTGCACTGGTTATACTACGCTCCTCCTCCAGCTTTCTGATCATTCTCCCACATATGAAGTCACCCAGATGATTTTTTCTAGCCATATTTCATGAAAGACCTCATCTGTACTTGAAATGAATGTCTTTAATTGTGTCTCTGACCTTCCTTTTATTTTAGTCTTGAGTTGAGCACACCGAACACATGCATTTTGCGTACACTCACGTCGCCTGTGATGTTTGTTCCTGACATTTGCATACAACTGAATTGCATGTTCATTGTATTGATCCCAAGAACACCTTTTCTGCAATTTCATGGCTACCTGATTAAAATTTACATTGTTGCTTAATTTTTGCACACCAGTGTAATAATATCAAAATGTTAGTACAGTACAGACTTTAAAATAATAATAACAATTAATAACAATAACAATTAATTAATTAACCCCTTTCTTTAATTCTGATGCTGCTTCTTACCAGAGTAAATATTTTAATAGTTCAGAGATTTTGTACATTTTAAAATATCTCATATTGTTCATGATTTATTTTTTTATTGTACTATGAAAATTCTAGTTGCAACCTAGAAGAGGAATTAAAGTTTTAAGTATTTTTTTAAATATACTATAACTCTCATAACATATTTAGAAACACAATTTCATGGTTCAAGAATAGTTTTGTCTAAATGTTAAAAAAAATAATAATAATTAATAAATTTTTAGCAAAATTCTTCTTAAAACATGATAAACAATATAAAAGTCTATTTTCATACAAGAATTGCAAAGCTTAAATGGATTTGAATAAATAAGAAATAATTTTAAAATGAACAATAAAAAAGTAATTGTTTAAAATATTTAGCAGATCTAAAGTATGAGAGATAAAAGGTAGGCAGTATTTCTAAATTATTTAGAATTTTTAAAATAACATTTGATAAAATTTTACTATAAACTAGCACTAATTCATTTACAAAGTCTCACAGAATAGCCTTTTCCATTTTGAAGGAGTAAAAAAAAAGTTTTTTGCAAATGATTTCATTAACCTCACAAAAGTACAATATTTTTAAAATATTTCTTATTTTCATGCAATGATTGATATACATGAATTTTTAGTTATATAAATTTGTTCAAAATAAGGAAAAATTATAATTTTTTACAAATTTATTAACACTGAATATTTTTTATTTGCAAATTTGAAATCTACATTGGACAAATGATGACTTAAATTCTTTATCACAATCCAGATCCACCTTTACATGGTGGAGAAGTTTTCTGTTCAATTTTGTCTTTAATCTCAGTAGTAGCTATAGCCTGAAAAAGAAAACAAATTTTTTAATAAATTATTTTTAGAAAATATTTAAATGATAAATCTTAATCTGCTAGCCATACTGCATTTTACCGAGTGAAACTTGCATGTTAGCATTCAAGGACATTAACTGATGTGTTCAAAAGCAATTTGCTGAATGAAAAATATATTAATGCAGGATAAAAGGAATCATTTGCATTTAGTAATTTCAACATTTAAAGGCAATACTGATCTGTTGCTGCATAAAAAAGATGTCAGTACTTTTTTTTAAATGTTCTCTTCTGTATTTCATGGAAACAATTCCAATGATGCAGATCAGGTTTTCAAATTTTTAGAGGTTTATTCCAAATCATGCTAAGACTGCAACATCCTCTAATGACCAGTCACTGTATTATTGGTTAAACACAATTACTAAGTAATTGCATGGACCTTTCCAAACAAAAGTTACTACAGCAGTAGGAATATTGCTATCTACCAGTTGTCAGAGGCTAATGCTTTAAAATCGAATGACTATGCCCTAACACAAGTTTGTATCCATTTGAACTTTAAAAAGCAAGATCAAAGTGATGTTATTAGCATGTGATTTACAGAGAAATGTAATGGTTCAAAGCATTTTTCATAAATGAGTCAAGATTAACTTGGGATTTAGGCAATAAGCATGTAAATGACTGAAGGAAACATGTAACAACCAGCCCAACAGCAATGTTGAATACCATGCCATGTGATATTCGCCACAGATAATAGCCAATATCTTGCTGCTATGATGAAACTGTTAGTTCACTTTTTTAAGTATACTATGCACAGTGTTGCTAATCACATTCATCAAAGCATCTCTTTCCAGATCAACTTATTTTTGACTGACAGTCATGTGCTTCATTTTCACTACTTAATTTCCTATCTTTGTTCCTTTTCTTCAACACTCTCAATTAGATTACATTTATGAGAATGATGTTAAAATGAGAATGAACACAATATACACAGTAATAATGAACTGTATTCCAACTACCAGCAAAGCAATAATCCTTTTTTTTTTTTTTTTTTTTTTTTTTGTCAAGCTTAAAAGATGTAAAAATCACTGTATAATAACTATTAAATCAAGACAAACTACTGCTGAATTTCTAATACTGTTACAGTCAAAAGTCGTTAATCCGGACTCGTCGGGACTTAGGCGATTCCGGATTATCGATTTTTCTGGATTATAGATCATCAGTTTAAATCTGGTAAGATGGCATGCAGAAATTATAAAATTAAAAATATGAAACCGTAATTTACGAAATAAAGAACAATTATGATCTAAAGGGTATCAAAGTTTACAAAAAAAAAGCTTAATATTTATTTGTTTACTTTATTAAACATTTCTTTCAATGTAAGTTGTTTAAGTTGCTTCGTTTTTTTATGTGATAATACATTCTCTTTAATTCTATAAACAGACATAATTTCTTGTTCAGTTACAAAGTTCCGCCGTTCAAGTCCTATAATTGCTGTGTCGAGAATACCGACTAATTTGTCAATCAAATGTTTCTCGTTTTCAATAACCTCTGTTACTTTCTTTGCTATCAGAAGCGAATTATAATAACGAGGAATTTGATTTAAATCATATCAAAGATGGAGTACATCGATATGAAATACGACATTTAGTAAGGAATTATAAGCCAAATAAAATAAAAAATCTGCCCTGAAGATAAGGATAGTGCTGACAGATCAACTTCCAATTCATTGCGCACCGCGGCATTAAAGATAAACAAAGTTTAGATAAACAAACGTTAAAGTTTTAGATAAACAAAGGATATGCCTCTATCCATTTTTTGCAGCAATTCCACTTTTTGTTTAATGGACTTCGAAACATACTTTCACTTTGTAGATCCTTTACATATTAGTAAATATATATCAGAAATTCTATTTGACATAATCGAAATTTCAAGCTTACCTTTATAAAATTGCTCTAACAGTCTGCAAAAAATAATAAGCCGAACCCAATTTGAAGATTAAGGAACAACGCAATCTGCAACATTAACTGAATTAGATAATTTTAGCTTAGCTTATACCGTCTGTTATATATTAAACGCGCATTCGTAAACGTTTTTTTGCGCACGTGCATATTCGCAGCCGTAAAGGTCTTACGCACATGTGTCAATGCGACGCATGCGCAGAAAGTTTGTAGCTTTGAGGTCCGGATTATAGATCATTCCGAATTATGGGTGTCTGAATTAACGACTTTTGACTGTATATACTTTCTAAACTAAGAGGCATTAAAACTATTATAATATACTTTTTTGAAATTATAACACTTTTCACAATCAAAAATAACTTCAAAAAGTAAGTTGTAACTTTACAACAGATTAATGTGCAACAAATAGGCATAACATTTAAAAATATCTTAACTGTTTTTTTAATTAAAAATTTTTAATGTATTGTTTTAAAATCAATATTAGTTCAAACTTCACAGTTTTATGGCTTCACAAATAAATATAAATAAATATCTAAATATTTGTTAAATCATTAACTAACAGTTTCAAAATTTATGTTGATTTGTTAAAAAAAAAACTTTATAATATATACATACGAATACTTCAAAAACACAAGCAAAAAGTTCAAAATCCTTACATCTATTGATAATGCATGAATAGGGCCTTTCAGTTCCTCTTGAAGAGCTTCATTTACAAGTCGATGCCGCTTTAAACAGAAAGATATAAAACTTAAGTCATTAAAAAAGAATATAGTTTTTAGATTTAAATTTTGTTTATATAGTTCTGTGGTTTAAAAATGCAGCATGGTTTCTATTTTTCAGTCAAATACTAATGTTGCATTAAAAATTGTGAAAGGACAGCAAAAAATAATACAACTCATTTCTTCATAATACACTTCAGCTCTTACAAAACATTTCTTAACCCTTCGATTACTATTGGCGCATATATGCACCCAGAAAAAAAACATCAGTGTATCTGTGTAGCTATGTGTGCATATGTGCATCCGGAGCAAGGCATCAGTGTAAACTATGGAAGAAAATGCATGCTTGGCAAAGGCTTTGGCTGTTTACTGACGTCTCATGTGTATGTTCGGAAACTATTTATATCATATATGTCCAACACTCACAGAAACTTCATATCTTGTCCGTTGCCTAGCAACGAGAAAAAAATTAAATCTCATTTGTCAGTCATTCTGAGGCCACACATCCCTCACAAAGCACTTGAACTTAGAGCAGTTAGCAGTCAAATGGTTAAAAACTATTTCATTCCATTCTAAGGATTTCTTCAATACATAACTGATTGCAAACAAAATATTTTAGAGATCATGACATTAAAGGCAAGAAATTTAGTCCTAGATTAAAGTGAAGATTTTAAAAATTACAAATTAATAATTACACCTTATATTGCGAATCAAATAAAAATGTTATAAAAAAAAGTTGAAGGTGCCAACAAACTATTAAAGGTCTCTCTAAAATATAATCATGGAGAATCAATTTTGACTGCCTTTGACTAGACTGCAATCTTAAATAAATTGCTGTATAAATTAAAAATAGGTAATTAGAGACTGAACTTTTTAAAAAAAGTATATATATATATATATATATATATATATATGTGTGTGTGTGTGTGTGTGTGTGTGTGTGTATGTGAGATATAATTTTCATTAATACAGACTATGTTGCAGACAATATATTCAAATAATAACAACAAATAAAATACATTTATACATAATGCATCATGGAAAGATACATATATTAATGATTTGTCAGTACATCACTGAAGGCGTAACTGACAGATATATTGGCAACAGATTTTAATATAAGAACAACTTCCAAGTTTTTTCCTTCTCCTCATAACAAATCAAAATTAACAGTTTCTGACTGATTCGAAGCCACTAATGACTTAAAATAAATTCAGAAAAATATATGGGTGAGTAATACATGAACTGTTTCCAAAAGAAAAGCTAATTATTGATTATCAAGGATGGCATCTTGAAAACATTTGTTTGTGTGAATGGAATGTTTCACAGTGAAAAAGGTGTTCTAATCAATAAATGTAAAAATTCTAATCAATAAATATAAAAATTTTTTTATTAAATTTTATTTATGTAAAAATTCTTTCTAAATTAATATAATGTTATTTATATAACATTATATTAATTATCTATCTAATTTAATATAATGTTATTTATATAACATTATATTAAATTAGATAGAAATTTGCATAACTAAACAGTGCCTTCAGCCTTTATAGAGAGGACTTTAAATCAATGAAAAGTCCAAATTATCTTCAGATTCCTTTACACATGAAAGATAAGGCATACTTTATAACAAAGCATACTAATACTTTCTTCTCAGCTAAGTAGCAAGTACAGGATTTTATTTTACACACCAAGAAACACAAAAATATCCACATAGTCAGCCATTCTACCACCAGAAGTTGAAGCTGAGATGTAACATAATGGTTTTATCCATGTGAGAAATGGTTAACATCTACATGAAAAATATAAAAGGTATATACAAGACGCATATAAATCATTGCTGAAACTTCCAAAATTCATCAAAAATTCTTTTGACCTAAAAAAGAGATTTGTATGTAACTTGTCACATATTAATGAACACTTCATATAATGATTTTTTTATTATTATTATTTGCAATTTTTTAATTACTATTATTTCTGTATTTCTTTTAGTTTTTACACAAAATGAAGTTAGTATAGGGTCTTCTGCCTCTACTAATTGCATTTTACGTGCATTAAAAAAACTACAATAAAATGAAAGGAATTTGCAAATAGTATACTAGTCAACACTCTAAACTTTTTCATATGCTAAATAGTCACAGAGTGATATGGGCTTGAATATTCATGATACTCAGGATAACCATTTTAAAAATATTGGTATTGTACCATATATATAATTTATTCTTATTGCATTTTATATATAATTTATTCTATTATTATTCTTTGCTGAAATATCAATCATACCTAATCCTACTCTGATGTTTTGTATGAATGCATGCTACAACAACTAACTGATTCTAAAGTATTATTTAATTTTTAGCACAACAGGGTACATTTTATTGGGGTCTCAATTCAAAAAGTTTCTGCTTTTAAAATTTCTTTTTATTTATGTATTTATTATTTGACTACAATGAAGCGCTTAATAGCTAGCCTAAATTTTCTGAACTGGAAGTTTGAATGCAATACTTACTGCCTACCTTGATCTCCTGGCATGCACAATTTCACATCACTAGCTTTACTTGTTGAAGAGTTATTAAACTAAAAGGTTTGCTATGCCTTGTGAAGCACTCTGCATGTATATACTAGCTTGGAAACAGTATAATGAAATATACTTAAAAAAAATAAAGTTAATATCTCACACACACTGAGGTAGAAAGGCCCATTCCGGGGGGGGGATACAGCACCTGCATGCAAGTTTTTTTGTGTGCCCCTATACAATTTTAAATATATAATTTAATAATTTACTTTGTCCTTTTTTATCACCTTTCAGGCAATAAATCATTGGATAATGTGTTTGTCCTTGTACAGGTAACTTCCATTTTAAGGATAATGACTGCATTTCGTGAGGCATGTGGGGCATATGCTGCATACCTGCCAGGAATGGGCATGGATGTCAATTATTTGAAATGCAATCCTCTTGCATTAATGTATGACCTAATAATAAAACAAGACTTTTGAGACTTTCTTTTGAGTAAGTCTTAAGCAATAAATATTGCAGTTATTTGGATTTCTTTGATGCTAGGTGGGAGTGGGAACAAAAAGAAATTTTCTTTCGAAAAGACATTTTACTTTAAGGGGTGAGAAAGTAGTTATGCAGAGACAAATCTGGAGAACTGTTATATGGTTTAGCATATACACTTATTTTAAGCATTTATTATACTATCCAGAATTTGCTATATATATATTGATTAATATGAAGGTATATTATTTTGTCCTACAGATGTGATAATTGTTTAAATGCACTTAAGTTTCCAACTATCTGCTTTACAGTCATTTTTAAAAACAGTGCATTCTCATTATTTAATTAAAACATTGTATGACAGACACATTGTATTACATTGTATTCATTGTAACATTGTATTAACATGTATGTAAACATTGTATTAATTGTATGACAGAAACATGCAGCCACACAGAATGATATATTCAAAATATTTCTTAATTCAGAATTGCTGGCCTTTTTATAGAAAAGTTCAAATAAAAAGTTTTTTTAAAACCAAAAACACTAAACAGCAACTCTTGACACAGTAAATGTATATATCTTTTAATGAACTATGAACACAGATGTACTTGAAAACATTATGTAACAACATATGTCTGATCAGTATACTGATAGATATAAATATGTGATTAATTTGCAATAAATGTATTATTGTTTCAATAAACCATGGCACTAAAATTACATTTATTTATCAGTTTATCCTGGTAATTATAAAGTTGAAAATTTGTTTGGATGTTTTTTTCCTCAACCTCAAGAACAGTAATTAAAGGATTTATTCAAAATGCTGCATGTCTAAGTAGGCAATGGATTTATTTAGCACACAGGCATCTTAAGTTTTAATCTTTTTCTCAAAGGATGCCTAATAATCTGTACAAACAAATCTATTACAAACATTTATTCTGTATAATGATATCAATTATCCCATGTGTTTTTTAAACTTATTTTAAAACAATGCTAAAATAATACAAAACATAAGCAATAGAAATAGTACTTAAAGAATAGCAGATAGCAAAATATAAAATATGTATTTTAAATTACTCTGTGACTTATTTGCAACAGGAATTTGAAAGAAGCTTGACAACAACTGGAAGTCGGAAAGAGTACTTTAAAATCTTAAAATTTAAAGGAACTTGAAGAAAATTATGAAAGTTATTATTTTAAGCATATTTTAGTTTTGTTTCTGCCACTTTACACTCACAGCTACCCAAGCAAAGCTGGCCAACACAGCAAGTTAATTTATAAAGCATTTATTTTCAAATTTAAACAATGATCCCTTGAGTTAAATTCAATTATACACTTTTATTAGATTTTGAATCAAAACAGTAATTCTTTCACCTTAATTTTAATGACAATCATCATAAAATAAAATATAATCAATATTGATCATTAAGAACATTTCTGTATGCAGAAAACCTTTTTTCAATCCAGCTTAAGAAACATGACAATGTTATAATAGAAAAAGTTACAATTAACAATGAATCTATTTAAATAATTTCTTTTAAGTGATATTCATAGCTTTAATCAGTATTTAAGCATTTTCGTTGTTGACCATGAAAGTTAATAGAGATCCTACCAAAACTGTGCAATGATTTCAGCAGAAGTTTGAAGGAACACACTGTTCTTTATTCAGTTAAAAAATAACAGACTGGTCTTTAATTAGATAATCAACTGATACAAGTAAAGAATAGGGTATATAGAAACTTTAATATTTATTAGCTCAAATTCTAAGATTAGTTGACAAAGAAATTCATTAAAACTAGAATCAACTGGCAGTTAAAAATTCATAAAAGAATATAAAATAGCAAAATTGCCACCTTCTTTATATGAACTTGATACCGCATAAATTCACTCAATTACAAATCTAAGTGGTGTTGCACTTTTTAGTAATATTTAATTGTGCAATTTTTAAAAATGCCACATTCTTTTAATATTTTGAGCATGCATATCATATAACCAGTCCCACAACTTTGAAAATATTCCACTGCTTGCTGTTCTGGAGAAGGCAGGTCTCAAATTTTAATACTTTTTTCAAATTACAAGGGGGGAAAGCAGCAGCAGTTGATTTATAATTTACTTAAAAACCTAGCCCGGCTTACTGAAGATCAGGGTTACATAAAACTAAAGTCAGGTTCTGAAGACTATGTTGTGATGTCACATTTATTCATTACTAGAGATAAATTACACTGTTTCGCAACACTATCATAAACAGTAAGCAGCAAAATGCATAAGTACTCTTTAATCTCAGAGTTAAAATCAAAAATACTTTAGTTAATTTTTGTACTACGAGAGCTTTTTGTTTTAAGTTTAGATAAAAAATTAATCTATTAAAAATGTCAGCATGTGCACATGCTTATATATTTCTTCATTCATGATTATAAAGCCTCTCACAGTTCCATCTTTCAGCATTAAAACGTTAAAAATTGTTCTCTTTAAATTTCATTACTATACATCAAAGCCATACTGAAGGATTTGTCACCTGGAACAAACTTCAAAATTGCATCTTTCAAATACTTTTCATCACTTTAATATTTAATATTTCGATTCCTTTTTTCCCTATTTATTTGATGCAAGTGTCTCAATTAACATAGCTCTGTTCAAACTATTACATTTTAGAATAAAATACAGTACAAAGTCCGTAATCCGGACTCGTCGGGACTTCGGTGATTCCGTATAAGGGTTTTTTCCAAATTATAGATCATCAATTTAAATCTGGTAAGATGGCATGCAGAAATTATACATTTAAAAATATGAAACCGTAATTTATGAAATAAAGAGCAATTATGTTCTAAAGGGTATCAAAATTTACAAAAAAAAAGCTTAATATTTATTTGTTTACCTTATTAAACATTTCTTTCAATGTAAGTTGTTTAAGTTGCTTCGTTTTTTGTGCTAATACTTTTTCTTTATAAACAGACATAATTTCTTGTTCAGTTACAAAGTTCCACTGTACAAGTCCCGTAATTGCTGTGTCGAGAATACCGACTAATTTGTCAATCGAATTTTTTTGTTTTCAATAACCTCTCTGCCACTTTCTATCAGAAGCGCACATGGGTAAACGCTTTACGCGCATGCGTAAGTTTGTGGCTTTGAGGTCTGGATTATAGATCATTCCTGATTACAGACTTTGTACTGTAGATGTTATCAATTATCACATCAAAAACAAAAATTTCTTGCTTACAAATTTAAATGATGAGATATAATGAATGGTAACAAAGAAATTAATATAGTACAAAGTTTAATATTTCCGGTACTGTACCGGGTTTAAAAATGTATGAATGTATGTCAATGTGAAAAAAGGGGGACAGTTCTAGATCTCCCAGTCTACTGGACTGATTGACGAAATACAACTTGCGTTTTTCATATGCCGAAAGTGCGACTTAGGATATGTTTAGGATATATAGCATTATATAATACAGGTATTTTGACACGAAATTGGACTTTTTCTGAAATCACATTCCGATTATTTTCCATATTTTGATTCTATGACTTAAATTATGCCAAACTGCCAACTTTTGTAAAAATCACATTAAAATTAAAATTAATATTTTAAATTATATCCTATTATAGTTAAATATCCTTTTTTTTAACTTATTTAATTCTTCCTTTCAAATTTCGAAATTTAGGTTTGTTCCAAATAACATTCAACCATTTTTTACGATTTATTTTTAAAATACATATTTTTAAATAATTTCTATAAATTTTTCGAAAAAAAAACTTGAATTATAACCTATAAAATTTTTACCAATATCTTAAAGTAGATGTATTTCTAAGCATACCTGCAAAAAATTAAGAGATTTTTTATTCAAAATTTCCTAAGATATCCATGAATTTACATTTTGGCACGTTTTGAAGTTTGGCATATTCATTATAAGCCATAATAATGCCAAATATGGTTTATCCATTTTGTTAAAATTATTTCAATGTAATGAACACTGACCTTTTTTTCCTATCATGTACAATGAAAAAAAGGAAAAGAAAATAGGTTGCTATAAATTAAGAAATTCACCAAGTGAATTATTTCGGCACAATTTTTCAATTTGTGCAAAAATAATTTTTTTAATTTCTCCATAAATTTCGCACCAAATTTTACAAAATTTAATATTCAGGCAAATTTTGAGTCATAGAATCGAAATATGGAAAAAAAATGGCATGTCATTTCAGAAAAAGTCGAATTTTGTGTCAAAATACCTATATTAGAACAATGCTGTATACAAATCTAATACATATTCTAAGTCACACTGAATTTCGTCAATCAGCCAATAGAACAGAAGACATAGAATGGTCCTATTTCCCCCCCCCCCTCCGCAGTGTGAATATATGTGTATATACATATATGCATACTTATGCTTATATGCATATATGCATACTTATGCATACATGAGCAGATACATACATACAGTTCTGAATCCAGTCCTGATAATACAACAGTACCATATTTTATCAACTTTTTAATAACATCAGAAAAACTTCCTACCTACCTGAACTAGAGATTTATTAATGAACAAAGGAGACACAACTGTAACTCTAACATGAGATGCTGAGCCTACAAGATAAATATTCACATAAATATAAATTTAAATTATCCAGTAATCTCAATTAAAAGTATACATTTAAGGAAAGCATTTAATCATTACACCCTTTAAATTAATATGTTACTCTTCAATACTTTTTTAATTAGAATAATATGTATACTTACAGCTTAAGCATAGGTTTCTTTTTAAAGCATAAGTTATTAAAGGTCTATTTTTAAGCATTAGCTTAAAAGGTCTATTTTTACTATTATTATCATTTTTATTATTAAAATGTATTTTAAAATCATGTTAAAGTAATAAAAACTGTAATTATGATATTTACTAAAGCTTCAGGCATTTGTATATGGTTTAACATTATAATCAGAAATTAATAACTATCACACATAAATAATACATGTCTGTATAATATACAGTTATTTATTAATAAATTTTATCTATTCTAATATTAACCAGATAAAGCTAATAATTAAAGAACCATAAATCTGCGGAAAATGAATATTTTATACCCAACATAATGAAGATATATTAGTTTAAAATGTGCCTTATTACATTATATCAATTCTATACATTCTGCATTCTATTCTAAATGCTCTGAGACTTATGCATATATAATACTTATGATTAGTGAAATATTATTTTGATATATGATTGCTCCCCATTTTTAAATAGAAATATATATGTCATAATTGTCATAATAAGAGCAAAGGAAATGATGGAACACTGTAGATGCGTGCTTAGATCCATATTGAAGAAGAATTTTGATTGCGTAGTATTTAAAGAACTTGGCAGTTTTAATTCCATTTTTATTTCCAATTGATATTTGTGGCCACAATCACTTGGCACTCAAGTCGTGCCTTTCCACAGAAGATTTACATTTTTGATATTGTTGGGATAGAAAGCAAGCCCAGCAAAATTACATCTTAGCACAGTAGAGAGCAAAAAGCTGAAGAAGTGCGTACTTATGAAAGATGGAAGCACGCGCGAAAGAGAAAAGTTTTGGTTTGCAATTCGGTGATTGGTCGTAAAGAGGCATCTGGTATTAACGGTTACGTAAGATCGCATGATTAATTTGAATGACGCAATGCAGAGAAGTTATTACGGTTTTAGAATAAAGAGGAAGAATTAATGTTTTATAGTTTAATCTATAATTTTGATTCATATATATATATATAAAGTGTAGCTTTACACTTTTTTCCTCCTCAAACGATGTCATTTTGTTTATGGTTTTCATGTTTAATCAAAGTTCATGAGTCAGATAGCAGCTAAAATCTCTTCTGGGTTTCAATATATTTATTATTTGTTTGCTTAAAATGATAATATTGTGTTCTTTCTTAGAAGTGTTATTATTACTTAATGTCAGTTCACTGTTGTAAATTTTAGCAAGGTCTTCCAGCCATTTTTTACCCAGCAATTTTCATGTTATTCACAGTTGCTTGTGTGTTTTATTATTGTTGAATATTTATGCTAATAATATTTATAGCATAAATACTCAACATTGTAACAAAATGTAATTAAAGTGATGAATGTAAATACAATTTATACCTATTTCTTTAACATATGAAGGTTATCAACACATTATTTGACATATTCAGCATTAGTAACAGACAATAAGAATGCATGTACATTTTACACTAGCATTTCCCCCTAAAACTAATAGTTTTACCTTTTTTTAATATGATAATAAATTATACAGAATTTTCCTAAAATTTATATTTTTATCTCTTTTTTATATGATAAAAAATTACATGAATTTTTGGTACTGATATATTATCCCAACTACCTTAGCAGGTGTTTCCAAATTTTCAAAATGTGTCACTCTAGCAACCATATACATAACCATGCTTATAACAGTTCTTCAGTCAAGCAACATAGCCACTTTAATATGCATTCTTTTTGTTGCATTCTAAGTTCAAATAATTTTTATACACACATCATGATATTTTTTGTCTTAAACTCAGTTTTAAAATCAGTGCTTGTGGGATTTGCCAGCAATGGAAGAAATTGAGGTAACATTTTTGCAGAAACATAGTATTTTGCTGCAAAAAAAGGTTAATGACAAGATCCTTTTGGCAGATAGACAACATGCAATGCCATGTGTATGGAATTCTCTGATATTTTTTAAGCAAAAACTGATTGATGCATACATGGAGAGAAACAGAACACAAGAAAACATTTTCACGAAATTGAAACTGAGGGTTTACTAAAACTGAAAATTTTTGAGAAAATGTGTTTTATTTTTCATGAGACGACATTTTTAAAAATTTTAATTTGCATTTTGAATTGCTAAAGTATGTTTTCTTTGATATGTTGATAATGTTTGCTCATTAGTGATAAATACATGTTTGGCACTCTTTAAAAAAATTATGAAAATAGCCAAATTGTGCCAAGATGTTTATGTTAATATGTAAGTACCAAATTTTTCTCCTAAAATTTATATTTTTACCTTTTCTGTAATTTAAAATTATATATATGTCTTTGATTTCCTCCCAATGTCAACATATCAATTAAAAATACATGGATATTTACATGCAAATACATACCTCTTGGTACATTATGTCTAGCACTTTCATTTACAACATCTAAATATTCTGGCTGAAAACAAAACAAAACAAAACAAAAAAAAATGTATACCAGATAATTAGCAAAATATATTATATTAGTAGATTGAAAAAATATCCTTAAAATAGAATTTACGTGGCTATTGAAAGAAAATTTCACAATTTAAAAAAATTTACATCAGATAATTAGCAAAATATATCATATCAGTAGATTAAAAAAATATCCTTAAAATAGAATTTACATGTTTATTAAAAGAAAATTTTACAACTTTTTTTTCATTCTAATTGAAATAATTACTAATCTTATAAAGTTTCACTTAATTTGGTAGTATAAACTCCTAACAGACTGTAAGCGAATTATCCCTGCAGCTGAAGATAACAATAGTCTTGAGAAAATTCAAACAAACCTTTTTATTACATCAGAACTGGAATATAAATACACAACTTGTACTTACAATTCAGCCAACCACTTGTGATGATATAATTTAAAATAACAGATGTTCAAATTTAAAATTAAGTTAGTAGTCAAAGACCATGCAATTCAGTTTAATGAGAAGTTAGCTCACAAATCTAACCTGCACAGGTATTAAAATATCGGCAAGTATAATACCTATTATATAAAATATTGGCAAGGCCGAAAACTACAAATCTTATCTGACCTAACAGCAACCTAGTAATGCAGGTTTGAGAGGCAAAACATGCTGTGAACTAAATGCTTACTGTCTCTTTCTACCTCATTTACATTCTGGTAGGCAAACAGAAATGAGAACTGACAGTAAAGGTACAAAACATTAATAAGTTAATAGAAATAATAAAACACTACAATCTTAAAAGAATATTATTTATTTTAATTGGTTCAAAATTAGCAAATTCCTTTCAATAGTAACACTTCAGTAAAAAAATAAAGCAAAAGTAAATAAAACAGAAATTAAAGTAAAACAGAAGTTTTAAAAAATAACAATTTAATTGTATGTCACTATATTATACATTAAAATAGTAATAACATTAAACATACTTTAAAAAACATACAAAATTTTGATACCTCTAATGCTTTATTGAGTTTTTGCTTAACTACATTTTCTATAAAATCCTATTGGGAAGAAAAAAAGACAAATTATAAAAGAATATATATAAAAATAAAAATTCTAATTATCAATTATTTTTAAAATATAATTACTTCTGCAGAGTGATTTGAGTATGATGCACTTTTTACAAGCCTTGTTAAACTATATACAATGGTACTTCTCTGGTAAATAACTGAAACTAAAAAATATATAATCAGCTTTGCAATTGCATTATTTCAGATAGTTTTAAAAAAAAGAAAATTAATAGATGCCTAAATGGTTCTTTTCCTATATGCAATGTGAATATGAGCTAGTTTCCAACAAAGAGTCCTCCATGAAGGCATCCCATCCCTTAGGCAGATAGTTTCTCTTGGGTATTGTCATTTTCAAATAACCAAACTTAATCAAACCACATAAATGGCTTTTAAAATAAATCAGTTTACTGACCATTTATGTAAAGAAAATCTTTCTAATCATGAAACTAAGTACGCAGTAGAATTACAGTAGATATACTCTTATTTTATACCTCTATACTCTTATTTCTCTACATCAAAGATATCACACCAGATGCTGAACAAAAGGCAGGTAGAATTCTTTCCCTTACCAGCTCGAAGGATTATGGAAGATTTTTTAGTGAAGCACTCAAAATGATGTTGTTTGAAAATTAAAAGTTTTTTTATTATTCAGATCAGCAAAAAGAAGGAAATTACAGTAATCTGAATCACTATTTCAAGCAGTTTCATACTTGAAGAAAGAAAGAAGTTAAGAAAGGGTGGCAAATCGATAAAAGAGGGTGAAAGTATTATGAATTGAACTGCTTATTGCTCAAAATTATCCAGTTGCTTCTAAACTGGTGTAAGAAATGTGATCTTTTGCAATAAATACATCATTTTGGCAGGCCTCAGAAGCTAACTTTATCCATGAAAAGGAGGTATTCTGCAAAAAAGGGAAATAATCTAAGGATTAATATCTCAAATTTTCCTGCTATGCTCAAAATGGATTATGATACATACTCAACAATACATAATTTTATCAAGAAAGTTGTTTTTAAAAGATGAACTGCAAGCAAGAAGCTCTCCATCAGCGAATAACAAAACAAAATGGGTACTCTTCTGTTATCGGGACTGGGATCAGAAATGTATGTATGTGTGTATATATGCACATGTATACACACACATATATGTACACAGACTTATATACAAGTGCATACATTACGTTCCTGAATTCGGTCCTAATAATAGAAGAGTACCACGAAATGACTTAAGTTTGAGAAGAAGTATGAGATCAAGCTTTGACTTTTCATTCCATAATTTAAAAAAAAATTCAAAATTTAATTACCTCAGTTCAGTGGAAAAGATATAGTTTGGCAAAATACAAATGAGTAAATGCCAACAGAACATTTATGCAGAAGTATAAAACACAATGCAGAAACAGATTATTACTGAGGAAACTCTGGGAAGTACGTAATCAGAGATTTAAAGCAAATGGGTCACTATACATATTTATATTTTAAAAGAAGGAATACAATTTTTTTCGGCCCGGGGGTCCATTTTAAAAAGAAAGTATACATAGAAATGCCAGAAACTGAAACTTCTATTGTTATTTACTTTTTAAGCAAGACAAAAGCCCATAAATAGAGCAAAATCTTTTTAATTCAAAAATAAAAATTAATGGAATAATGCAGATACAGAGGACATTTTATCAGAAACTGGCTCATATTCACGAATTATGCTAAAAGATTTAGAGATGTTATAAGAATAAAAAGAAGTGAAATTAATGACTACAGAATTTTGAACTGCAGGATATCATTCTGATTGTTTACTACACAAATGATTTCATGTTCAATGATAATCAAAATCTTATCATAGTTAATTTGTTTTATATATTTAATTAAATAATATGACACGACTATGTATAATCTGCGTTATGTTTTATACCGTAAATTTTTGTAATTGTTACCATCAGTCTTGTCGAAATAATGTATTACTTGGTAGAATAAGGATATACCTTGAGTTTTACTACCTATTGTAAATGTTTACGTTAAACATAAATTTGTTAGTTCTGAAGCAAAGTAAGAATGAAATGTTCCAATGATGAAAGTGCAAAAATTTGTTTAAAAATCCTGTTGCCAATAGCCAAGGCAGAAGACGGGTTTTTCTACAATGATCTCGAAAATACATATTAAAAAACACAATATGATTTTTTAAAAAGTGCATAAATGCATGCTTCACGAACCAGGAAGTTTCAGAACGCTAAAGAGACTCATTTTCTTTACAGTTCTTAGCTTTTAAAATTGCTGCACACAAATAATGATAAAATTCTGCTTAATTTCAATCTCAAACGGCGAAGTCAACACAATTCTCGCAGAAGACCTTGTGGTGCACTGTCATAAGTAAGTCTTTGAACCCAAAAAGGCAAACAATAGCACAGTTTTCAATTTTTTTTTTTTTTTTTTTTAATCAAAGAATTTGTAATTCTTTTACAAATTCTTTGTTTGAACAAGAATCAGTTAGACAGGCTTTACTGTCGGTACCATTCAGAAAAAGATAATATCTTTTCTCAACATTTCCTTGCCATCCCGTCGTCATGTGAAGCGTTACTACTTTGTACAATTTGTAATGAAAGCTAATAAATAAGTTTTTTCTCAGGAAGTTATAAATTATGGTTCATAACCTATAACCGCATTTTTAATATCAGTTAATGTCAGGAAAAGTACGCAAATGGATAGTTCCACTTATTCGATTAGTATTAATAGTTGCAGTCTTCAAACGTAGACTAGATTATTTAGATATGTCAAAGCTTAAGATTGCTATCTTTCTAAGGGGAGGATGCTCTGGTAGAGGACTGTCTAAAATGCATCGTATTTAAATTATATATGGGTAAAAACAGAATAAGCATCATACAGTCAGCTCGTTTGTCCGGATTTGAACTCGAGTCGATTACCAGCATTAACTATTCAGCCTGTTGTGAAATGAACTGAAGTAATAACTGGCGCGAGGCTCTGCTGTTCGTGACAAGGAGGTTAGAACTCGTTGGGTTCAAGGAGGTTAGAATAGCTATTCTAACCTCCTTGGTTGGGTTAGAATAGAAGGAGGGAGGGTTCGCAGTTTCCTCCACTATCGGGGAATGAAACTCCACGGAACAAGCGACGTCCATGTTTGTTACTTCAAAACATTGCAATACGGTAGTGAAACGTACGTGTTTGTAAGCTGTTCTATGCATGAATTTTCCAGTAAAAATATGTTAAATTTATAATGAAATGTTTCGCTATTGTTAGTTTTTTGTTTTAAAATTATAAAGATGATAACTGTAATTTACTAAGTACAGAAAATCATTAAGAAATATTTCGAAATCTAAATGCATGTGCATAACATTAAAGCCTTTACAAATTATGTTTCTGCATAATTTCAAGAATTTGTTTAGGTTTTATTAGCAACTTCTCTGGTATACTTTCCAATTGTTTCTTTAAGAAGTGATATCTTTCTGATTTATTCCCAATATTATTATAATTTATTAAAGAATCATTTTTACCTGAAATTAATAGCAGATAATTATCTAAAAAATGGTAACATGTTGCTTTTTTTTTTTAAATGAAAGTTTTAAATAGATTCTTTTCACAATCAACAACCCTTATCAACAAGAAATAAATATTAATAAAATAAAGCAGATTATTGTGAATTCAATGATTTCAGTTTATGCGCGTTTCATATTTATGAATCTCAAAGAAATTACCTTGAATTAAGCTGAATTACAGAAATATACCTATATAAATTTTTGGATATATCTTTTCACATGTTCAGTTGTGTAAATATTTTACTTACGTTTGTCGCTATTCTGCCCAGAAATTTGTAAGCTTATGCAAAAAACATTTTAACAACAGAACAGTTTATCTTGATCAAATGCACAAATTATATTCGTAACAGTTCACAAAACTTAAGAATGAATATAATTAATACATAAAGAAAAGCGTTGCTTTATTTAACACCTTTACAATTTCATAAAAATAGTAACAATTGATTTCTTACGTTTCATGAAAATTATAAAACGAATTATCTAAGCGTTCAAATTATACAGCAAGCATATAATCCTAGCATATATCATTGTATGTTAAGGAAACGAAGATACCAGCTGTAAGCAAAAGCATTAAAATGTATTGCATTTAACATGTTTCGATTATTATTAAGTCTTTTTTGTCACATCTGGAAAGAAAACAACATGACATTGTGACATTTTTTTAACATATTTATGAAATTACATAAAAAAAAAGAAAATACTTACGAGTGAACAGTAATCCCAGGAATATTTTTTGAAAATCTATTTGTGCATCCATATGCAATATAAGCAGACATGCTTCAAAAAGAAAAGGAAAAAAAATGTTACAATTACAGACTTCCTTGCACAAGTCACAGTGATAACAGTAACATGGCCGCCAAGCTTCACCGTTTGAGTTGAACCTTCCCTTCTTCTATTCTAACCTCCTTGGTTCGTGACGTCAGCCTGAGTGCTGAGTGTTTTCGAATGGTTTGCTTGTAGACGGAACGAAAGCTGATCTCAGAAGAGTGATACTGTTTTGATGAAAATAAAGAATGGCTTATTAAGAAATTTTTGTCTTTATTCATAATGCACCCAGCCTCGGGTAGAGGCAGCCCGCAAACGAACGAACTGTTTTAAATATATTTGATTTATATATTTTCTGTGTTCTTCGTAACACAGTGGTACCCTCGGCGGAACCGGGTGCTATGAAGTAGAATTTTCCGATTTTGAAACTTTTCATTTTGAATTTCGATTTTGAATATACTTTGAAGATGGATTTGATCGCTTTAAAGGCCAAAGAAGGACTTAGCATTGCGTTCTCGCAAATCTCAAGGAAAACCAAAAGTGAATTAAATAAAGAAGTAAGAGATTTAATAATACACTCGATTTTGAAGTGTCAACTTTGTGATAAATTCCAGAGAGTTGACGTATACCAGAGTGCTATCTCGTAGCAAGATTTTGCAGACTAAAGATGGAGAAAAATTATTTAGTGATGACTTTGAAGAAGCAGAGGATTACCGAGATAAGTTTCTATAACAGTGTGCTCAAATAGCTACGGAAATACAAGTCCTCCTTCTCTTCCAAGGTATCTCCCGAATCGAGGAAATTTAAATTGCCTAAAATTGAGCTTGAAAAATTCAGTGGTGAAGCTAAAGATTACCTGACTTTTTGGGAGTCGGTTCCAGAAATCCACGACGACAAAAGTATCGCGGATGAAGATAAAATGCAGTATCTGTTGCAGGCCATGGAACCCAAATCGAATCGAAAGCAGAACGCCTAGTTCCTTAGCTTTCCTGGCAACGGCAGCTAATTATCCCAAAGGCATCGAACAACTAAGAGAGCGTTTTGGACGCGAAGATTTACTATGTGCAAATCTATGCGAGAGACTTGTTAAGCCTACTGATGAAGAACGCTGTAACCAGAAGAGCAAAAACTAATCTACCCATCCCTTTATGATGAACTAGAAGGGAAACTGAGAGTGTTGGAAAGTCTGGGGAAGAACCCAAAGAAAAATATGGCGACTTTTTGACCCCCTTAGTGGAAAGCTGTTTACCAGAAGAAGTACTGATGGCATGGGAAAGAAGCCAGAGAAATCACAACTCCATTGAAACTAAAGGGACTAGATCCTTGCAACATTTAATGAATTTCTTAAGGCAGGAAGTTCAAGGGAGCAGAGATGGTTCTACTTCGCAAGAACTGATTTCGCTTCACAACAGAATCACCGGAAGAAAGACTTTAACCCCGAACAGGTAAAGCAAAATGAACCTGTAACAGCGTCAAGCTAAGTCTTGAGAATTTCAAGTAAGAGTGTTTCGAACTGTAATTTTTGTGAAAAGAACATTTAGTGAAAAATGTTACTCTGCAAAAAAAAAAAAAATGATTTAGTGAAATAACAATTTTTTGAAAGAAGGTGCTTGTTTTCTGTCTGAAAAGAGAGTCACATTAGTAATTTGTTCTTTGAAAAGTAATTAAGTTGTTTCGCAAAAGTTGTAATCATTTTGATGTAAGTGTAATCAAGCTAAAATAACGGTTAGATTGTAAGGATCTTAAGTTTTACTAACGTTTATTTTATTTTAAATCTTTACTATCACTTCTTATTTTCTACTTCCGGCCAGAATTATAAGTTAAGGTTTTATGCAAAGTTTGTCTGGCGAACGCCAAGTATTTAAGTTGTGGCTTTTTGCCAAGCGAGAGAGAGGAAGCAGTGAGTTCGAAGCAGGCCGCTTACCTTAGAAGTTACGCAGTTGCTGTTGCCTTCCAGGCCAGAGGTTTTAATCCTCTTGATAATTTTAAACGTATTGTAGTGTTCTCACAGTTCTCTGTACTACATACACCTTCCTGTTAATATAAGGCCAATCTTCCACGTTTATTATTCTAAGTTAAAGTTTACTTTTACGTTAGACCCCAAGTAGCGGGTCAGTGTATTCCGAAGTACGGAAGTTATTGTATATAGAGAAAAATAAAGGGTTTTGTATACCCTTCTGTGTATCCTGTACTTACTACCACAATTAGTGAACATAGCTTTAGTAAGCTCTCTGTTCCGAGTCAGGTCCTTGTATGTTCCCGAAGAAGGTAGAAGGAACATTGAACCTGATAGTGGCGCCCAACGAAGAAGAATAACCATGGCCGAGTTTCAAGAAGAACCTGTGCTGCCTGCAGAAACGGCTCAGAATCCAGAAATGCCAGCTGCCGCCCTGGAAGGATTTGGTTACATCGTCCAGACCATGCGCGCTTCGATGAAACCAGAAGCAACATTTAATGGAAACTCACCGGTAACCAGTTTTTTGGAAAAATTGGATGACCACTTCATGCTCTACCCCGTGCACGAGTTTCAAAAAGTTACCTTAGCTACCAGCGCTTTGAGGGGCCAAGCGCTTAACTGGTTCAAATGTATAGGCAGCAGAAGTCTCTTGGGTCAAGCAGGAAGTCCCACCTATACTTACGAAAATTTCAAGACTGCCCTACTAAAAGCCTTCCCTGTTGTAAGGGATCGTGCGAAATTAGAAACGGAACTTTTCAGTATATATCAACAAGCAAAGAATCGAAAACCTCTCGAGCTTTATTTTAAGAAAAATTCACGTTTTCAAGCTCTTGTATGGAAACCGTCCGGATCCTGAAATAATTCAAGTGATTTTGCCGAGGTTACTACCCCAAGTGCAAGACTTTATTGAATTAAGAAATCCGACTACACTGGAAAAGTTATTTGAGCTAGCAATCCAGTTTGAAAGTAGAAGAACGGCGGACGTCGAAAGAAGACGCCAATATCAACAGCGAAACCAATTTGGTACGCCAAGACTACAGCAAACTCAAGCACACGGCTACGGAGAAAAAGCGAATCAGTGGGCAAGGAAACCC